CACTCGTTGGGGTAACTGATGAGATATAAAACATCTTGACACGTTTAACAATTTTTGTCGTATCAATAATTTAACTGTAAAAGGATTAGCTTAATCTTTTTTTAAAAAAAATAATATATGCATTAGTTGTAACTAATAATTACTAGACGTATCAATATATGGTTCGCTCATAGAATGTTTCACAGACACATACACCGTTGAATGTTTTAATTATCACGACGCCGGAACATCCAAACTGAATTGGAAGAACCAAGAATTATGTAGGACCGAGCAGGACCGAGCGGTTGGTGTGCATATATAATTTTTTTTTACGGAGATTTTTAGCTAGTTTACATGTTATATGTAACACAACGGTATCGCCAAATATTATGTAATTTGAAAATAACCAATTATTTAAGAGGTGTTTAATAATTAACGTTAGATTACTTTCAGGATATTCGATGCTTTACAAGATAAACATATCAATATATGTAGATAGGGTACTTACATGATTGGATTTCGAAAATTTTTTCACCGAATAATAATTACGTAAACACCTCAAAATCGCCAACAAATATATTTTTTTTAATTGACAAGTTTAAATGGTTAAAGTAATTGGTCTAGAATTTATAGATACGCGTATATAGTTTAATGGCTGAGATGTATGTACAGTACATACATACCGATACGTATATGTATGTTATTACAGATATATATTATATATTATATATTATATATTATAGACATATTAAGATACAGTATCAGTATATAATAAATATATTACAGATACAGTATATTACAGATGCAGCATATTACAGATATATTAGAGATGCAGAAAAAAATAACGTTTTTTTACAAAGAAAATTATTATTATTATCTGTTTCAAATTTTCAATATCCAAAATTTCCAATATCTAAAATTGTTCAATGTCCACAAAATTTTTAATGTTTATTAATGTTTATAAAGCTTTAATGTACAATAATTTACGGAACCCTTATTTCCCTTTCCCTTTCCCTTACATCCCTTACCTTTTGTATTAGATAATTTTATATATGTAATTGAGAGATAGTTGAGTCGACAACAATGGTTAAGTTTCCATTGAAGTCGAAATATTATTTGGTAAATATTATTTGATAAATGTAATTTGATAAATATTATTTGGTAAATATTATGCATTATAATAAATTATATAAATATTAAAAAAAAAAAAAAAACAATTAGAAAAAAAAAAGAAAAAGGTCATTAGTAAATAACAATAACAATAATGGTTAAATAAAAATCATCTTTAGAAAGCACTTTTAATGAAATTCGTAAAATGTATATTTATTAAACGTTACGTGTATTAAATATTTTGATACAATTTAGGTTTGTTATTATGCGTATAAATTTACCAATAGCATGTTCATTTGTGTATCATTTTAATCATTGCATCATTGCATCATTACAGCTGACTATATGCATCTTATGTTTGTGGCATATATTTGTGCAAATTTGATGGTCATGACACAAGAAACACTAAAACACCCATTGTTGTATTATTCCGGGAATAGCGAAACATAATACACAAGTCGGAATATCGTGATAAATTTCCTGTAAAATCGGTTGAAATTAATTGTTGCAATTTGGATTAAATTTATTTTTTGATCTTTGTTCAAAGGTTGACTTCTCGTGCTTGTGACAATCATGTACAAGATTACATATGCTGTGTTTAAAAATAGCTCACATTTCTGAGTGATACAATCAATATCAAATTGTAAATAAGCATGCATTCAATTATTGTTTCAATGCGTATTAGCGTTAGCCTTAGATGGCTTGCACTAATTTTCATATATCATAACTTCCTATAACGCATTTATTATATACTTTTTTAATCCTTGTATGAAAGAAATAAGAAATTCCCCTAACTACATTGCATATATCAAGACATTATCTACATTCATTACATACTAGATAACAACTAGATATCTATATGGTCCAATTTCACAAAGGAAAAAGGTCTAAGGATTGTTGATTATTTTCTTGGGAATTTCATACATGTTAACTAAGACATAATTAATTCTAATTCGTTGTTACTTTTACGTCAATGACCAATAATAAATCATTCCAAAAACTTATTCTAACCTAACTTTTTTTAACAAGATTATAGCGATTCAGAGTTGGACTAATCATCATCTACATTAACCGTCAGTTACATTAACAAAAAGACTTTTTAATTAAATATGGTATTCGCAATGATACGATAAACGATTGACGTCATTTATACGAATACAAATATATGTGATATACGTAATAGTGTTTGATAGTAGTGTTTGATAGTAGTGTTTTATAATAGTATTTTATAGTAGCAATAATGTTTAATACGTATGTAGTAGTGTTTTTTTATAACTGATAACAAAGAACGAACTTTTGTCTATGATTATTTAATTTACTTTATTCTATCTAAACTAAACAATGGAATAGCATTGAATCAATGCATTCATAAGTATTCATAAGCATTCATAAGCATTCATAAGCATTCATAAGCAAAATAACAACAAAACATACATATGCCAGAATATTTTACAATTTCAAACCTTTTTTTTTTAAACAAACTGTCAAATTTTTATTATATTCGATGCATTGCTTTATATGCTATATATTATATACTTATATAACTTATGTGCTATATATACTATACTAAATACACTATATATACTATATACTATATATACTATATCTACTATATATACTAAATATACTTGTATACACCAATCAGAAAACATGTACCAATTTGTGGGGTAACACATCACAAATCCCGTATTCCATAATTACCATTATGAATTGCTGAATTGATCGATAAATTTTATAGTTGAAAATCCGTAAATGCGTAACTTTGATAAAATACCAAAGAGAGCTTTTCTCATGTCTCTTGCTTTATCATTATTTTTCATTTTTCTTCAATTAAATTTAATATGGAAATCTACAAATCTACCATTCATGCTTTACATGCTTTACGCAGCAAATAGTAGTATAATCATGTGACGAAAACAGTGATGCAATTGCCACGCGGATAGTCCGATCCCTGCATAATTGATATCTCAACTTTACATTCCCAATTTTTTGGTAATTATAACAGTTTGATAACAATTTTTCACTACGTAAAGAATCATGTTTTGAATTTAAATTATTTTATAATCAAACTTTAGGGTTTTCATTCCCACGGGATTTTTAATAACAACATCTTAGGAATCAATAGGATTTAACTAACCATTTTCGATAATCAACAACTACTCCTACCCTTTTTGTTTAGTGGAAAAACATTATTTATTGTCATTTCTTTTCCATTATCGTGTTTTCGTTGGACGAATGCATCAAATGCTTTAAAGTGCTTTAAATGTGCTTCAAAAATGTTTCTCAATGCTTCTGAATGCTTCTAAATGCTTCGTTGAGTGGATTTGTTCAATCTTATTTCAACCTTTTATTCTTATAACATTTATTTGTGTCATTATTATTTAATATATTCCCCCATATTTAATATCTTTTTCTGCATCGTCGTTTTGTGTATCCATACTATAAAATTATTTTTCAAATATTTGTTATGTGTAACTTAATTGATTGCTCAATTTTCTTGTCAACAAATTTTCATTTGCTCTTACATGAATACGTCCAATACGCGGTGCCTTTTTCGCGAAAGGATTATTAAACATTAAATTATATCCTCTATATACACATTATACACATTATATACATTACGTATACCATTATACGCACTATATGCATTATACCGTCAACAAATTATAAATTGCGGTTAGTGCATTAATATGATTAATTTATCTAATTTATTTTATTTAAATTATTATTTTATAATTATAAATATTGTATATATCTTGGAACTTAATAAATTTATCTCAAAGATATTCAGCCATCTTACCTTCGTAATCTATCGACTTACGTACATACATATTACAGAGTCGTACATACTCCATCATGCATCGCATTCCTTTCATTGTAAACGGCTTTTCCTTGATGTGATTTTTTTTTCTTTTTTTTTTTTATATATTTCATTTTTCTACCACGCTCACATTAATCCGTGTGGCTGCGTGTGAATCTAGACGCGTTTATTTTTCAATTTGCCAGTTAACTTTCTGATTTCCTTGCAGTTATGTTTATTGACTGTGCGAAGGCTAGAGATGTTTACGAAAGATTGTTAAGATTGGATAATTCCAATTTTGTCATGAATGGAATTCTTTGTCTTACCAAATTTCTTGTTTTTTCGTAAAATATTTATTATGTCTTAAACTCGAATACAACACTGGATATTGTTTTAACCATTCATTTATAAATTTATATACTTGTGTCACTTTAAATCAGTTCTCATACTGTGCAACGAAGAGACGTTAGTATAATGAATTCTCATACAATGAGGAGACAATATATCTCACCATGTGGTTGGTTAGTGCTACTATTATTACCTTGATACCTCACTTTTTTCGTTTGGAATGATATCATATAAATATATATACTCATTATATATATTCATTATATATACAAATATATATATTTTTTTTTTATTAGACCAAGGGGATTGAGGGGTACATAAACACATCGCATATATTTAATTCTTTAATACTCGGAGTTTTGTGTTATGATTTTATAATAAATAAAATGCTTCGGCGTTCAACTATAATATAAATAATTCATTTATTAGTCCTCTAAATTATTTTTGATTAGCTCATTTGATAATATATAATTAAATTATAATTAAATTATAATTAATATATATAAAACTCATTCTTTAAAAAAATTTTTTTTCCATCTTATTTATAAAAGAGTCGAAAACACTTTTTCATTCCTTTATTCCAGTCCTTGTATGGTTTTTTCCTTCATCATCTATTAACTTTACATTCTCTCTTCATAACTTTCGCATTCTTTTCCCTTTCATCAATATCTTTCGTTCATACTCCTATACATATTAACGTTAAATCAATTTTTTTAAAAAAATAATTCCTCCGAAGAGAAATAATTAACTGCCTCTTATAATGATGACTGAAAATTTATTACATGATGAAATTAACGAGGATGACTCTCCTTATTATATTCCCGTAACTGAGAGTGATGTATGTAATTAAAAGAACTTGAATGTTTTTTTTTTATAAAAAATATTTGATTGATTTAAAATTAATATTGAATAACGATAAATTTTTTTTTTATTTTTTAAAATTACTCAGACCGATCGGGATTTATTATTCGTGAGTATACAATTTTCACACTCCGATCTCTTCGGTCTCGGTCTCAATTTACCAAATTTTTTATCGTATATTTTTTCGTATATTTTTTTCGTATATTTCAGCATTATGTATTCAAATCTGTCCTTAAAAGCAACCATATCAGTCCAATTGACAAGTCCACAATGAAGGTAAATTAAAATTTTGTTATTTATCAGAAACTATTGTCATTGATATTGTTACTAATCATTATACAACTTTTTACATTTATTTTTTAGACTTGTTTGGATATAGCGTAAGAATTCTCATCTTAATTCATCAAAAAAAAGTACAAAAAAAAATGATTAAATGTTTCACACTTATAAAAATAATATTTATATAGATATGGTGGTGGTGCTTGGATGATGGAAATGGCTACGTATGAATTAATTTTAATTTTTTAAAAAAGTCTTTTTCATTTATATAGATCATGATTATAACTTTTTTTCTTGGTTTGACTTTTTTTAGAGATTTCCCCAACTGTCACTTTTATGGGATTGACATTGAACCGCGCACACCAGAAGCGGTATATCCTCATAATTGCACCTTTGAAAAGGGGGACTTCCTCAGTAAGTATTATCTAAAATTAATGTTAATACGATTATGTTAATACAATTAATCATAACAATTACTTAATTTTTGTAGAGAAGCTTCCCTACCCGGATAACATGTTCGACCTGGTTCATATTAGGTTGACATTAGTTTGGCTGCCTATCGGCAATTTGCTCGAGGAAATTGCCAGAGTAACAAAACCCGGCGGATATATCGAGTTTTTGGTATATTTACATCATTCCATTATTCTCTATTTCTAAACTTTTTTTTCTTTTAATTTATTTATTTATTTATCTATTCTCTTTTAATACTTTTAATATATAGGACCAAGATGTTTCGGCCTGCCCGGTGTTAGTATTATTTATAAATTCTTGTTTATACAGTGATTATACAGTGTAATGTGAATTAAATTCTGTCAATTTTTATTGGAAATTTAGAAATGCTGGTCCTCTTATGACTTCATTAGTCAATGCTTGGAAGGACATCCAAATCTCAAAAAATATCAACGTTGATCTATTGGTCAATCTGGATAAAACTTTAATTGAAAAAGGATTTGGTGATGTCCAAATTAACAAGTATCCTGTCCCAATGGGAAAATGGGCTGGCATGGTAAATCGAATTTATAATTTTTTTTTATAACTATTACCGATAATGATGACCTTAAATTAACTTATATAATAATAGGTCGGTGAGTTTTTCTTATCGGCCTTCAAGCTTTTCACTATAAGCACTGCCTCGCTCACCTACGGCCACCTCAGTCTTCAAACTGAGGAAGAGTATACTGAATTGGTTCAAAAACTTGGAGCAGAATGCGAAGAATATCAACCTATCATCAGCATTCACGCTGGGTTCGCCAGAAAACTTTAAAAAAAAAAACACAAAAAAATTTGCCAAACACCAATTTAAAATTTTTGAATCCTATTTTTTTTTCATCTTTTTTTTAATTATCATTTTTTTTTTATTCACTACCATATACTTATAGACCTATGTTATTCATATAATCGAACCTTTTTTAAGCATTCCTTAACCGATTCCAAACTTTTTTTTTTCTCGATTTTGGGGTCCTAATTTCTCAATATTGAGATTTTATTGGATGATGGTTAAGAAATTTCATGTTTCAAACTTTTTTCTTATGATATTAATCAACCAAAACCATTAAGCAACAAAAGATTTTTTAAGATTAGGGAAGGTACCAAAAACAATGTTATACCCTGCGGCGATTTTTCATTAAGACATGGCTTTTATCCAATCTAATTTTTTTATATAATTTATATTTTTATATTTTCGATTATATTTTATCAAAAAAAAAAAAAAAAAAAGCCTCTTAAAAAACATAATCTCTAAAGTCAAAAAATAATAATAATTAGTTATTCGATAGAATTTGTTCTGACGATTCTATCAAAAAAAAAACAAAAAAAAAAACAAAAAAACAATTGTTTGTGTTTGAAACGCAAACAATTTTTTCTTATCGTAATTAATAGAGTTCCTTTTCGTTTTCGTTTCGTCTTCAACCTTTAATTTTAACCTTCGCGATTTTTCTTCGTTATTGCTTTTATTTTTTTTTTTTAGCCGTTTATCTTTTCGTTACGATCAATGATAAATCTTTACTTATCTCTTTTTTTTTAATATTTTTTTTTCAAACTTTTTTTCTTCTTTTTTCTTTCTTTTTTTCATATATTTATTCTATAATTGTTTATTTTATATTCGGAAAATGCAACAATTATTTTTGTCTGAATTTTTTTTTTTGTATTTTTCTCTATTATCTTTTTTTAATTAAACGGATCTTAAGCGATTTGTATATGTCAAGAAAACAAAAAAAAAACAAAAAAAAAAAACAAAAAATTTTTTTTTTTTGAAGTTTGTGATCATTGTGTATTTTTTTTTTGCAATTTTTAATTTTTTTTTTGAAGTGCGCGTGAAAAAGTATTATGTAAGATTGTTAAATTGAAAAATCGACAAAAAATCATTCTGGCCCGTGCGTCATCGTGTTTGACATGAACCGAATGTGACTAATAAATAAATAATTTTAATAATTTTTAGTGCGAGCTTGCTTACGTATACGTAGATGGGAAAATTATTCATGTGATTGGTTATATTTAATGTTAATCAAAAACGTGATCATTAACAAATCAATTCATACGTGAATCAATGAATAACACATGATATCTTTGATATTCGTTTTTTTTTATACGTATTAACGTAATTAATGAATTATATAATACAGTAATACATAGCATCAATAAGTGACGTACGTAGGTCATTTGTTGATTGGTGACAATTCAATGATACATGTCGATTCCGAATCGACGGGAATCAATAAACGACGAATAGATTTCGGCATTCCGTAACTCAATTTTATATGTCAAAACTTGGCGTAACATGTTTTGATTTGTTGTAACTTGTTATATCGTCTTTTTTTTAAGTTGATTGGGAAAAAATAGGTTTCTTTAAATATTGTGTTATTTTGATTATTTTTAACTTCTTGTGATGTAATAGTTTTATTTAATTCTTGAAATAGTTTGATATTAAAAAGTAGAAGGCTGACATGTGAGAAGTTGATTGATATAATTTAAGGATAGGGGTGATGTAGATCATTTATTATATGATTTTTCTAGCAAATAAAATTTTATATATATAAAAAAAACATATTACTAATAAAACTTTTTAGTATTATATTCAATTGTTACTAAAATTTAATAGTATATAAATCTAAAACTTTTAATTATTTTAATAAAATTTTATAATTTATTTTGTTCCAAAAAAAATTATTTTATATATTACTAAGTTTTTCTAGATCAGCTTATAAGTTTTCTAGATCACACAAGATTTATTTATAAAATTTGTATAATATAAACAAAATTTTATATGTAAATTATATGTTTTTTTAAAAAAATATTAAGGTGAGTACTTGTAACCCAGGATTTTATTGATAGTATATTTGGTTAATGATTGCATTATAACTACAGAAAGCAATCATAAAAAGAGTATACAACTAGTCACTTGTACAACTTTAGTCATTACTTAATTTAAGTAATCCATCCAAAAGTTCTACACTAGTTGCTATATCTAGAACCTGCTTATAGGTTCCCTATTTAACTATTTTAGTTTTCATATCCACCTACTTACCTCTGCATATCAACAATCTCGGCCAATGCTGATGAAAATATATCATGATCATTAAGTCTTTAAAGCAGTTCATTTATATGAAAAATCTTTGACCTTATACTAAACCTTTCAGAATCTTCTGTATCTCATTTTTACAGCTGATTCAGATATCACTATAGCTGAGACTAATACTGACAATTAGAGTATATCATTAAACTACTACACTTTTGGTTTACATGTTTGTCAGCATGTAACTTTTTCTTCTAAAATGGATCCTGGTGGCCTGGTTGGTTCCATTCAGCCTCTCCTCAAAGCCTGGCTCTTTGTCTAGTTTCACAAATTCTAACTCTGTTTTATAAATCTAGTATTTACAGTAGCACTGTCAAAGGTTTAGGTTATCTTTCTATTTGGATCTTTTAAGTAGGCTTTTATTTTCCTACTTGGTTCTCATAATTTACATGACCTAAGAACTTATCTTAGATTTACACTGCCTAATACCAGTTTGTGTTCTTTTGTACAACATTATATGAATATCTAAACCTTTCAGTCATGCTAGTATAACATGAATTACAGATATCTTATCCTAACTATTTATAAAAAACAGTTAATCATAATACAAAAAGAATTGCAAATTTTCATCATTACTGGGATTTGAACTCTAGACCTGCCACTTGGGGTTAACAACCTATTCACTTCACTAGGTTACCACACTCTTATATAAATTATATGATATCATATGATTTGTTATATAATTACTATTAAAAATAATCTACATTATTCTTACTCTTAATTTAAATAATTATTGTTATAATTGATACTGAATTGATATTTATATAATATATAATAAAAAAATATTGTTGTCATATAGAGTTCAATTATGTTAGAATTAGTATTTAAATTAGTGTTAGAGATTATATTAAAATTAGAGGTTAGTAAATTATATAATAAAATTATAAAAAAAACTTTTTTTGCTAATGTATAAAAAGTTGCTTCTATACAAATTTTTGTTTTGAATTTTCTAATCACTTACTATTAGTTGATTATTATGTGAATGTTAACATCAACCAAAATCAGCATATGACAATTATTATTTAAAATTAAATTATCTTTATATTTATGATAGAAAAAAATTTTTATTAATTAACAATATAGTAATTTCAAAAAATATATATAATCTTAAGTTCTCTTTTGTATATAATCAAAACAAACAATATAAGTAAATAAATAATATATAGTAGATAAAGTTTTAGTTAATAAATAATACAAAATAGATATTAAGTTTGGATCTTATAGTTTAATAATTAAATTTTTAAAATTTCACAAATAAGATCAATAGTTTGAAATAAACTAAAGACAAAATAAGGTTTGTTTTTATAACTTTAATAATCAAATATAAACTTCTATAAAACAAATCTAAATACATATAGAATTTGAATAAAAAAATTTTTAGAAAAAAACTTAACTATGAAATATAACTGTTATATGTAATAATAATGTTACAAAAAGTTTTAGTTATATAAAGATGTGCATATAAGTTTTCAAGACAAAAAGACAGTATTAATATTTGATATCTTTTAGTTAGATAGTAATAATATTTTTATATTTAATTTGTAAAATATTTGCTTAAAAGAATAATTATTAAATTATATAAAAAAGTTTTATTAAAATTAATAGTAGCAAATTTTGATTGAGAATATAATTTAAAATAATCAAAACTGAAATAATAAAAAAAGTTGTGCACACAAGAATAAATTATAAAAAAAGATTAGTTTTATTAAATTAAGAAACACTTTTATTAAAATATAATAAGAATATTATAAAAGACTAATATATAAAAGTAGTCTAACAGAGGTGTGATGACCTAGTAAAGTGGTCAGGTTGTCAATCCTTCAAGTAGTAAGTTGGGTGTTCAAATCCTATTGCCAGTGAAAATTTAAATAATTATTTATATAATATTCATATTATGGCAACTATTACTACTGATTAGATTAGAATACCTGTAATAGTAGTTGCACCAGCATGACTGGCAGGTTATAGGGCATTTGTGCAATGTTAGAGTTATACAGAAGAATGCAAACTGACAACTAGGTAATGCAAACACTAAATAAGTCCTTGTAGTCATATAAATCTATTGAAATTAGGTAACAAGAAGTTCATTTAAAAAGACCTAAATAAAGAAGTAGCTGAATCTTTAACAATACTACTGTAAAGGCTAATTTGAAAAAATAGATACTAAGTTTTTAGTAACTGAACAGACAAGAATCTCCAAGTTGGAAGTCTTAAAAGTACTATCAACCAGGTTGCCAGAATGAACTAAAGAAAAAAGATATTGGGCCAACCTAATATACCAATAAACTGGTTGTAGTCCTATACAAGTCATCTAAATTGGGAGTTTGGTAAAATTTAGAGATATACTAAAGTACCAAGATTATGCTGTAAAGTAGATACTAAAGTCTAAGTAAACTCTATAAGAGCATAATGGTTTAATGGTTAAACTTTAATTACAAATGTTGGTTCTACTATAGTAATACTTAGATCAGCTATAAAAATGAATACAGAAAGCTTTAGAGAGTTTATCTTAAGAATAAAATAGTCTTAAAGTTAAGACAATAATCTGAGCATCTGGGTATGACTTAGTGAGTTAATACAAGTTACAAGTTCAGAAGATTTAAAGTAAAACATTCAAGCAAAGGTGTTAGATATAGCAATTGTTAGAAAATCTTTGGGTGAACTTCTTAAATAGGTAATATAAAAAAGTTACA